GGGGGTCATCATCTTTGGACACCGTCGTGGCAAGACAGTGCCAATACCGTTTAGCACTGAATCCAATGGCGACAAGGCGAGTTGCTCTGAAATGGAGGCCCTTAGTTCATGACTACACCAGGTACCTAGAACGGTCCCTTTCCGCGCCCTTTGTGTACTACAACAGAATGAGACAACGGACACCTCGAAGGGAGACTCCTGAGCTGTGTAGGCCATAAGGCTGCCGCCCCCAAACATTGAAAGGACATGCGGTCACCCTACATCCTACGTCCCAATCCCTCCAGATCGCAAATCCAATGCCTAGATTGATTAGGGCTCGACATCCTCGTCCCTCAGCTGAACACAAGGGCTGGAGTTGGAGTTTGGAGCTGAACCCTAAACGGCACCCCCCCAAATCCAACAAACCTCTCCCAACGGCCCGGCCCAGTCATTTCAGATGCCAAGCCACTTGGCGAAGCCCTGGAAAGTCGCAACGTTCCACCTCGTCTCCGAAGGAGGCTGGGCCGGGTTCACGAGCTGGATGCGCAGACGAACCTGTGCAGGCGTTCGGGGCTTCGGGCGGTAATTAAGGCAGGCGACGTGCACGGTTTGAGAGTAAAGAACTGCGGGGTGTCCATGAAAACATGAAGACGGAAGGCTCCTAGTTCAGGGTTCACCGGCTTCGAGTCTCAGGCCGCGCCGGATGTCGACAGACAGCCCCACGCACACAACAAGCGACCAGAAACCTCTGGTTGTAGTCTAGCAAGAGCGGTACGAAAAAGGCACTAAGGGACTGAGACTAAGAGTCACTGACAGTGTCAACAGTAGTCTACACCAAAGACAACCAACCACGCCAACAGCAAGAAGCATGACAACAATAGTTCATAGTAAGGTTAACTGTCGTAGACACAGAACCATGTTCACGGTAGTCGTGGTTCACAAGCAGAATAGCTACATTGCCATGAGACGGAGGAGTGCGAAAAGACATGACAGTCCCAGTACTGATGATTTGTATGAACCGCAGCAATGGTGGTGATGGTGACAACAAACGGCTGGCTTTGTAACACGAATGATGACCGCATGGCTACTTACATGACTAGTACTGTTGAAGACGGCTTGAGAGCGACACCAACGGCAACCCAAACAACATGAATACCAAGCCAAGTAACCATAGTCGTCATAGCAGGTATGCCAGGGGGGGCAGGAAGAAACATCCGAAAACCTGAAGCACATCGAAATAGTCATATGACGGCGATATCATCAAAGCTGAGCAGCAGCTACAACATCCTTCTCTGAACTGCCACCATCAATGCCCTGACAAGCAACCCTCACCATTATCACCACAGCATCACCATCACCAGGAAAGCCTGGCTTCCGCGTGGTACCGCCGTCGCCCTGGCGAGCCGGATCACGGCCGTGTTCACGAAGCCCTCACCTGAGCTGTGTCACGTCTGGAGTAGCAGGAGGAGCGGTGTTGCTACTGGTATGATGTTTGATAATGATGGATGTTGGTGATAGCGATGTGATAGCGACATGGATGCTTGTGAGGTTCCCCGTTTGCAAGTGAACCTGAGGCTCAAAAGGTCCCATCACTGAGTTCTTAGAACTTTTCAAAGTCAGACCCGTGAAGACCTCCGCCTAGTAAACAACCTCAGGAACTGCTAGGAATTACGACTCTGCGAATGTTTTTCTCGGGCCAACAATGGGCTACTAAACCGATCCACCACCACCACCACCACCACCACCACCCCCCAGAGAGGGTCCACGGAGTTCAGACCAGAATTCACGAGGTGCGCTCTTTAGCTGCAAAAAAATCCCGCAGGGTCGGCACAAAGGGCTCTCAATCTTTGAGTGAAGGTTTAGGGCTGAGGTGTTCATGTTGTTGTTCGGGTTTGGCGGATCCGGAGACACAGGATTTGCCCTGCGACAGCTATAGGACAGCACCAGCCGGCTTCGGAGTTTCGGGGGTAAGCCATGGAACATAAACCCACAACACCCCGGTCTGAAGCCCAGTTTTGGCGACCAGGTGCAAGAGGTGTAGGACAGAGAAGTGATGACGCGGGTCGAAACCTCCTCCAACGTTGGAATGGCATCATCCACCTGCTGCTAGGGCGTAGCCTTGTAGTATAGGGTTTAGGGCCTAGGGTTTACAGGCTTCATGGTTCGGGGCCCTGAGGCTTTTTATATGGGTTGGGGTGGTTCTGGGAGGCTGGTGGATTCAGGTTTGGTATGTCTCGTTGGGCTTGGGGCTTCAGGTCAGCCCCAAACAACCCGAAGCTTGGGGCTCAGCTGGGCTTAGCATAACGCATGCACTCTAACGGGGGAGCAGAATGTACTATACATCCCTATTATGACAACTCGAACAATACTCCATTGCAGCTCTATAGAACTACACTGTGATATAGCCCCAAAACCCATTCTGATTCTTGAGGTTCTCCTAGTAGCCTTGATAAGGACCCAATTGGGGGTCTCCGAAAATAGGGGACCCTAATATAGCACCCTAAATAATAGAATCCTTATTGTAAGGACCCCAAAATAAGGTACCCCTAATTTTCGGAAACCCCCAATCAGGGTCCTCCGACCTGGCAGACCGTCGGGAAGCTGAAGCCGAGGGGAGCTGTGACGTGGATGTTTCCTTGTTCATGGTTGGGGTAGTACTAAAAATTTTAATCTATATTCCTTATTGGGTTTAAGTACCCTTAAAAATGTAAAATGTTACCCAACTATGACAAAGTTTCCCACAGAGGTATCGCTGGTGTAGATGCTTCTGGACACGAGGAAGGAGACGGTGACCTGCGTTCGAAGAAGGGGTTCGGGGCTTAAGGGTTCAGGGTTTCGGGTTCGGAGCGGTTTGGAGGAAGGCCCTAAAAATTGAAGCTTACACCGAAAACCCAAAACTTCAGAAACCCAAACCAGTTTGGGAGTCAAGTCAAGGCACCTGATTCTGCGCGAGGAAGACCGGGGAAGAGGCCGCCACGTCACAGGCGCGGAGGACTTCCAGGGGCGCTCCCTCAAAGCTGCCGGCCTCGAAGAGAAAAGGAAAGGGCTTTACTAAAAAAGGTCTTTGGTGTGGTCTTCAAGGATTGGTGGATTCGACGGGTTGTGGAGAGGATGGGTGTTGTTGGAGAATTTCATGGCGTTATGGATTTTAGGGTGTAGGGGTATTGGGACTTTGGCTTTGACGGATGCCTCTGCGCGGCCCGCTAAGCTGGTGAGGCCGGATGCAACGATCACCTGAACCGTCCAACGGTTCGCTGTCCTCGGCTCAGGTATCATACACACACACACACACACACAAATAGGGGCATTAAAATCGTGCAAATGTTTGCATGTATTCACATGTGCACATTCATCGGAACACACTTGTTATCACTTGTTAAGTAGACTTGCTCGCATGCTATGCCATGCACTTTTTTGCGAAGTACTGTGACCACACACAAAAAACGTGTTTGCGTGAATGAACACAGGAATCAATCTACATGCACACAGGCATGCATGCATTCATTCATACGTAATGATGAAGCCCTAAACCCGTCTAAACCCAAACTCCTAAACACACCAGAGCCCCACGCAGCAGCCCCACCAAACCCCCACAGCTCCCAGACACTATGTACTTCCGACTTCCTAAACCCCAGACCCTCGAAGCCCTAAACCCGAAGGCACCAAACTCTCCGAGTCTCGGTTCCTCCTGAGAGCTGGGCGACACCAGGGCATTCTGAATCCTTGGCTCGGGGCCCCCGAACTTTTAGGGTTTTCAGGAGTTTTGGGGTTCAAGGTTTTGGGTGCTTTGGAGAAGAGGGGGGGAGCTAGGGCTTCGGGTGAAAGAGGGGGGGGGAATGCTGGCTGAGAGGTGTGGGGTTTCGGGGATTTTGGGGTTTTGGGACCTCCGGTTTGTCTGTCGGCTCTCGAACTTCAAGGACCGTGCCTTCTGAGCTGAGGAGTGGCGCTCTCGTGAGAGTGGGGGGATCAAGTTAGAATTGCGGTTGAGGTGTATATAAATATAAATAAACAAACAAACAAATATATATATATATATATATATATATATGTCATATAGGTATACTAAGGAACCCGAAGGAATAGCAGTCAGTTCTTCAGGCCCATATACTGTTGCAAGCTGGCTTGCATGCCACATCGGTTTGCCGGTTCAGGGCTTCGGGATCTGAAGTCGAGGCCTCTGCCTTGAAAAGTCCGCAAATCGGGCTTTGTTGTGATTTATGTTAAGTTCTGCATCTAAACAACTCAAACCCTTCAGAAAAACGCTGAGAGAAGAAGGGTGCCAAGATGCTTCGCCCGGAACCCGTAGAGCACTCCTTCAAGGGCATTGTCGGTGATGGGCAGCATGACCTGAGGGTGTGGCCCTCCGCCACATGCCCTAAAATCGCTACGCCCTGAACTCAAGCCCCCGCAACGCTGAGCACGCAAGCTCTGTGCAGCCTAGTTGGGCTTTAAGCAAGCCCGGAGAAAAAGACTCTCTCCCATCTAGGAGGTAGCTGCCTTCAAAGAAAGCTTAACCAGTAGCTGTAGCTGTCACCAAAAGGCTAAACCCGAAACCCGCAGTCCCAGTATTTGCCTTTACTATACTATAACTCTAAGAGTAAAAAACCCGATATTCCGGGTCGATCCTCGTGTGGTCGCGCGCTGTTGATCACCGGCACACCAATGGGAAGCGTCTTTTCCACACTGTTCGACTCTGCATCGACATCGATGTTCCTTGCCAATCGGGGCTTAGGATTTCGGGCTTAGGGTTTGGGAATTTCAGAGTTGAAGGTTCTGGATTGAGGGTGCTGTTGTCCGTTGAAACTCTGTTCGTGCTTCTGTACTACGGCTGTGCCTGAATCGCCCCTAGACTCCGTTAAAACTGAACCGTCCTGAAGGTCAGCCGAGGCGCGACACAAAGAGATAGCCAGGTGGGCCCATTATGTACATCTCACCTCAGTGCTTCTAGACGGCGTCACCAAAGACAAGTGAAAGGAATCTCGGCATCCGTCCTACCGCATCTGAAGGTCCAGTTTTCCATTACACCGCACAGCGAAGCTTTAGGCGTCTCCGATGCCCCCTGGTCCGTTCCAAAGGCCATACACCTTAAGCCCGACGAGCGCCAAGGGAAGCCCAGCCGCTGCCTCCCCAGATGCGACCCGTCAGCCGGTAGGCCAAGCTCACAAAGGCCTCCGCGCCGGGACCGAAGCCGCTGAAGTGGAAGCTCTGCACCTGCAAGATTTGAGGGGCGAGATTCGGAGAATCAGGTTCCATACTATAGACCCGACAGAGTGGAATCCTTATGAGAAGGACCCCGACATAGACAAAGAATCATCGTCACTGTTACCATGGACCATAAGTCATCCCTATCATCCTCAGCCTCGCCATCACCCCAGCCTCAGCATCCCATCCTCATTATCTTCATCATCTCATTACCGGCGCCATCATCATCATCATCTCCATCAATAGTGGTGCTGACTCCTTGTCATCACCATCATCACCACCACCATTGTCGCCGCCATCATCAGCCTCACGATGATCTCCAGTCGTAATGCAAAGAAGAAGAGGAAGAAGAACAAGAACCGCATGCATAACCACGACTGAGACTCAAAGATGATCGCACAGATACAGTGGCAACTACGTTAATAATAGGAGCACCGGCATATTTAATTGCAAAGCCATACAAGTAAGGACGATACTCACACCCATGACGAGGACGATGATGGTCGTGATGACGAGGTGATGGTGACTGTGGTGGTGGTGACTGTGGTGGTGGTGGTGGTGACTGTGGTGGTGGTGTGTGTGGTGGTGGTGACCGTGGTGGTGGTGTGTGTGGTGGTGATAACTGTGGTGGTGGTGGTGGTGGTGGTGGTGGTGGTGGTGGTGGTGGTGGTTGTTGGTGGTGGTTGTTGGTGGTGGTGGTGGTGGTGGTTGGTGGTGGTGGTGGTGGTGGTGGTGGTGGTGGTGGTGGTGGTGGTGGTGGTGGTGGTGGTGGTGGTAATGGTGGTGGTGGTGGTGGTGGTGGTGGTGGTGGTGGTGGTGGTGGTGGTGGTG